CCCCAGAAAGATTCCTGGTACTCATTTCTGTTAGAGGCTGAGTAGACCACAAGTCCATAGTACGACTGGCAGGATTAGGTCAATTGGAAAAAAAAAACTAATGACCTCATCGGGAACCGAACCCGCGATCTTCCAGCTTGTAGCATAGTGTTTCATCAAGCTACGCTACCGCGTGCCCCAAGAAAAGGCCGAAGCATATGAAATAATAAATAAAGAAATATGACCCCCTCATGCTGTAAAAGCGTCAGTAATCTCAGAAAAAGTGCATCTCCCACAGTAAAGGCACACTTTCATCAGTGGATGGGCACAGATGTGGCAAGCCAGGGATTGCAGTCAATGAACTGTTCACATGTTTTCACCATAACTGTGAATCGCTTTGTTTCCGGATCATCTTGTGCTGTTACCGGTTTCCTTACGTCCAGCACTTTATGAAGGCGAAAAATATGATCTTGCTGAAATCTGGTATCGCTGCGGAACAAACAAATAACAGCAAACTCCATGGTTTTAGTCCGTAAGCGAACTATACCGAACGAGCGGCCGCCGTTTGTCGGCGAAGTTAATGCCAAATTAGCGGATAGACGGTGTCTCGTGGACAGCGCAACGGATCCCCACGACCGCTAATTTCGGTTTTCTAGACCGGAGCAGCTATTTCCTTGAAATAACCACTCAATTATCCTCACGAGGCTGAGTGGTCTCCGTTCCAGACCCATTACTTCTCAGAAAATCTGGTAACGCCGGGAATTGAACTCGGGAGCTTGAATCTGTAGCCAGAAACTCTGACCTCTAGACCACAGTGGAACTGGGTCAGTAAATCAAACACGATCTCACTTTTTGAAACTCAAGTTCATCTCATTTCCCAGAATCAATATGCTATTAGATCTGAATACTTTTAGCTTGAGTTTTATTTCCTGAATGCAAGTGCATTTGCTTCTCGAAATCACGACGCGGTTTTTTCATTTACTTGAATGAGATCTCAAATTCTGGAAGCAAGTTCATCTGATATTGTGGAATGTAACGGAATTGTCTCAGTAATTCAATCTTGATTACGCATTGTTAGAGCCAGTTTTGTACATGCTTCTACCTCAGAGCAAATCTCATCATTGTGACGTCTGTTGCTTTCAGTATTTCTGGATCACGTGTGATTCGCGTCTAGGAGTTTTAAGTGCATTCGCTCTCACATACGAAAAAATGTAAGGTCAATTAGCTTACAGTCAAAGCAGATAAGCATGTTTTCTTTAGTTTGTTAATGTTATGCGTTTGGACTGTGTACGCATATTCACGACCAGTGAGTAGACGTGTATAGCTGAAGTGCAATATTCTCTCTTGACACCATCACAGAAGAATGGAAGATAAAAATGGAATAGTTTCTAATTCTACTCGTTCATTAGGTCTCTTCTTGCAAGCCATATTGAAACGTCTATGTATAACACAGTCCGTCAATAATGCAACAATTTGTTCCTCTTTCCTTCCATTTTCACTTTTAACACATGTGAAGACAACACCACACAACAACGCACAGATTGCAGACGTAACAGAACAGCGGGCTAGCGAACATAAAAACAAGCTGCTGCAATAAAACTCCTGGAGATAAACACACGAGTATAGTTCTAAACCAGTGGACCACGCACCTTCTGAGGTAGAATAGAGTTTCACAAAAAATAAGTAACATTTGTTAATAGAAAATTTTATTGGATTTTATTTTATTACATTAAGTGGACTACACCGCGCGAGTTTAGCGCATATCGGTACAAGCTTCATCGCTTGCGTGGGTGGAAGCGTCACACATTCGGTGGGATTTACGTGGAACGTCTCCTTCATAAAATTCCTCCAGAGCAGTAAGGCCTAGCGCACACATGCAATTTTTAGTTGGCCGATAGTTGGCCGATAGTTGTGCACGATCGTTGATGCCCAACGACTGTCGAGGGACGTGCGCACACATACAATTTTTAGTTGGCCGATAGTTGGGATTCGAGTAGAATTTTGTGATTCTGTAGTAAAAGCCTGTTGCGTGCTGCATAATTACATCCGGCAGAAAGACGGTGTTCACTTTATGGATACAGTGTATGAGTGCCCACTTGAAAGTATTCCTCCTTACGGAGTTCGCGGAAATTTATTTGGACTATTTCGCTTCTTATTTTACTTCCCCTCAAGGAGCAAAGTGTAAGTTCATTTCAAAACTTGTTACATCTTAAACAATTTTCAGAACTGTATGATCACTTATTATGTAAGTCATTACACTCATTACACTTCAGTAACAATTGTCAAGGAAATAAAAATTGATCATGCTAAAAATATTGTGTGTAATATATTACAGAAAACTTTTGAAATAAACAGAAGTAATTGTACTATATGGCATGCACTGTCTTCGCTCGCTCGGAAGCCGGGATCGTGGGTTCGAATCCCACAAAGGGCATGGATGTTTGTGTGCGTTTTTCTGTGTTTGTCTACAGGTAGAGGCCTTGCGACGAGCTGATCACNTGTATGTAATTTATGAAGATTATAACTACCTAAAGTACAGATAATTACGTTCAGTTTTTTTCTCTTCATGAGCCAAACCATTCCTGTTTTCAATCAAAGCGGTACACACCTCTTCCCACAACTTCTTCTTATAATTAATATCAGAATATTCTTTACACGATTTTAAATAAAGAGCTGGCCTTTTCTCCACTTCTTCTATAAGCTTTCCGATGCTTTGATCCCACATGTTGCAACTAGAGGAACTAGAGCGAGCGCGAAGACAGGCAGGAAAAGACACAGCTTGTTGACTGAAGGTCAAATCGTGCCCGATTTCCAGTTGTATGTGTGCGCCCTCCCATAACAGCTCATGTACCCCGGCGTCTTCACCAACAGTTGGGTCGGCGGGCAGTTGAGGTAGAGCCCAACTGACCACCGACTGTTGGAACAACTGTCGTTATGTGTGCGCACTCCCATTAAACGCAGTGGTTCTCGGCGAGGTGCCCGACTATCGGCCAACTATCGGCCAACAAAAAATTGCATGTGCGCGCTAGGTCTAAGAGTTACTTACCTGTCCTTTGGGCGGCCGCAGTTTCTAAGCAGAACCTATAGACTCTGACTGCGTCACTGCCGAGACTTGAATTAACTGGAAAAGGTGAAAGTGGCCCGGCATGTATATTGGACTAGCAGGAATCGCAGTGTCTCGCAATTTACGTAACTCCGTACTCCGAGTTCGAATTTATGAGTCTTTCACGGCGCACGCCTCACCGTGGTCTGGTACCCCTTCCAGAATTCCTATCCCACAACTTCGGAGTGGAACAAGGCTGGAAGAGGCCTAAGTCGGTGGTATATGCAATCAGTTTTTATTCTTTGTGTGTCTTGGGTGGTGTGAGACTGAGTCCACTCGATACGTCGGCCTATTGTACCAGCCACGAATGAAAGATGATAAGGGTGGAGCAGTCGGTGGAATGAAAATTGGCAGAGGAAACAGAAGTACTAAGAGAAAATTTTCCCCAGTGCCAATTTGTCCATGACAAATCCCCCATGACCTGACCTAGGCTCGAACCTGGGCTACGAACCGCCTGAGCTATGTCACGGACTATATGTAAGTAAATGTTACAAATTCTTGTAAGATTTGAGGTTTTCACGCTGTGACTACGAAGAATGCAATTTTCTAACTAGTTCTTGTTAGTGTTACCCTTGCAACGGGTTCCCATGATAGTCGGTAACCCGTCGTACTTTGAAATTTCTCCATTATATGTGAAAACTATAAAAGAAGAGCGTCCAAACGCGGCGTCTCCGGTTCTATCCCAAGTGCTGTAATGTGGGATCTATGCTCGACAATGTGTCGTTGGGGCTGGTTACATCCAAGTTCTTACGTTTCCTCTACCAATTCTCTTTCACCGACTGCTCCGCAGTCATTATCAACCTATCATCCGATGTAGCGTCGTTACATGACAGCCTATAAAAATGAAGGGTCACTCTATCGCAATGCTCTCGGTGCAACAGAGCGCTAAACATAGCCTGTCGCTACAAATTCCTACTGCTACGTCTTGTACTGATAACATTCCAACAGATTCACTCTACCGTTATCAGTTTTCTTGACAACGCTGAGCCGTCTAATTACGTCATGCACTATTATTTCTTCGTATTTACTGGCAGGGCCTCCCTTGCTGGACAGGTCAAAGCGTAGGCAGCAGACGAAGAGAGACACCAAAAACCAAAAACTGATGCTGGAAGCAGCGTCATCAGCAGCGACTTGAAGCACAGAGCAAATGATGCTCGAGATGGTTCAATTTCGTATTGCAACAGGCGTGACCAGAGTGGTTTGAACGGCTGCTGTACTGCGATGTGGAAAGCAAATGGAAAATCTACCACATTATCACTTTTCCTGGATGGTATCTTTCCAGAAACAGAGACACCATGTATGCTAACCAGAAGACGAGGAAGAAGATGCTGGATGACCTTGGGGACAGAAGAGGATATTCTCATTAAAAGGAGAAAGCTCTGGATCGCGTTAAGTGGAGGAACTGTTTTGGGAGAGACTGTGGACCTGTCGTCTGACATTACTGATGAATGATGAATTCTTTTATTGGACACTTCATGTTTCGACCTAACTGGTCATCTTCAGGTGTTCAGGTTGTTATGGTAAAGGATTCTGCTGCTCACTGCAATGCTGTTCTCTTTTCCTCCTCTTGCAATTGCCTCTGGCTATTTAGGTCATCACCAGGGCCCGGATTTTGATGACATGTCATCTTTTTTCTTGTATCCTATGCGATGCTCTTAAATATATAAATCTCGGATATGAGCTGCTGGTTACAGAAATGTAAATTTTATATGTAATTTTTTGTCATTTTTAGGTTTAAGGTAATTTTTTCATTTTGGGGGTAATTTTTTGGTAAATTTTTGGACTTTTAAGGGTATTTATTTTCATTTTTGGCCATTTTACGGAATTTTTCTTCATATGTTTTCTGAAATGTGAATAACATGGAAGCGAAGTGTTCTTTCTTTTCTCCTTTAGGTCATTTTTATGAAAATTTTCGGTCATTTTTTTTATATTTTCAGGTCCTCAAAATCCGGGGCCTGCATATTACATTTTTGGCTCATATTTTAGGTAATTTTTCTGGATTTTTCGGTCATTTTTTTAAACTATTTTCAGGTCATCAAAATCCGGGCCCTGGTTATGAGGGTTACCATGTACTGTATTTAGGTGTCCTTGGGTTGCACGTGGTTGCTTTTCTGTAATGGGTGATACATACACGTATCTTAGAGTTTTTAAGTATATTCATGTGTACATATACGAAGATTGAAGATAAGACAAGGCGCAGGTAAGAAAGAAGATAGTATCACAGCTTTAAGAAAGGGAAGACGACGATAAGTAGAGTCAAAACACAAGATGGCGATGCTGCTGCTTCTGCGGAAACTGGCGGTAATCTCAACAGCAGTCGTTAAGAAATCATAAAAGGTAATGTAAGATGATACTGACGTTATATCTTCTTCGGTTGATAATTATGAGCACGTTTATGGAAGAAGCGAGACAGAAGAAAAAGAACATGTACGTGAAAATTAAGCAACAGTCGTAAAAATGATTCGAGAAAATGAGAAGAAAGAATAACTTTAAAAAAATCAAGTTATCAGGAAGATGAAAGAATAAAGAAAGATTAGAAAATAAAAAAGAAACAAACGAATAAGTACATAAAAATAAATAGAAGAGGAAAAGAAAGAAGGAAGGAACGAAAGAAGGCGGGAAGTAAGAAATAAAGAAAGAAAGCAAGTAAAGTAAAGCAACACTGAACAGATATAAACTTGTATTCCGGAGGTAACAGGTCCAAATCCCGACCGAAACACCGCATATCCCGTCTGAGAAGAGCATCTCGATTAGGACAAGAATGTCATCTGGCAAATCATTTCCAATCTATGGTATATGAATCATTCCAACATTCAGCGCTATACTCGTTTCATTTCAGGTACAGAAAAAGCCGTAAAATAGCCCATGAAAGGGAAACAAGTAAGGAAATGCTTGTGTGGCGAAACTTCATTACAACTGTGATGACGTAGAACTAGAACCGCCACGGTAGCTGTCAGCAGTACTCCTCGCCAAACATAATTAGAATGATCAAATCAAGGAGGATGACGTAACACGAATGGGGGCGAAGAGGAATGCGTATAGGATATTGGTGGGAAAGCCAGAAGGAAAGAGACAACTGGGAAGACCAAGATGTGACTTCTCAAGGAGGGCTGAGCTCCGTGAAGTTAGCTTAGGCGGTTAGTCGCTGTCTTCCCACTGTGTCGGCCGCGGCGGCGGCTCAGATGTGGGATTTGTGGTGGACAAAGTGGCACTGGGGCAGGTTTTCTCCGCGTACTTCGGTTTCCCTTGCCAATTCTCATTCCATCAACTTCACCAGAATCACCGTTACCCACCATCTGGGCCTGGTGAAATAGGCCAGTATTGACCTATATACCAAATAGACTCAAATCTCACTAAGAATGGTAATACTCGTAAAAAGAAATAATAGTCAGCTCTCTGCCGTACACTAGTTCGAGTCCCCACTTTTCGCTCATTGTGCACTCATAAATTTTACCCCTTCAAACAGCAAATCACGTGACCCGCGCCCCTGCGCACATTAGAATATAGACATAAATCGTGTTAAACTGCACACCTCGAACACAAACCGAGCCTAGCCGAAACAAACACTTCATCTCTGTGACGTCATGCACAAGAAGTTTCTCAGATTACGTCGGTCCCACTTCCTTGCTGCAGTGAAAGTGCGGGCGGAAGCCAACGCATCAGCTGGTGACTTTCCTTCGACAAGAGTAACGGTTCAGACGTTAAGAGCCCACAAACATTAACTGATTGAGGACAGTGATTGTGTAATTGTCGCTAACCTTCCAACAGTCGGCTAAAATAGTAATGGCATATATTTTGTTTATTTTTTAATATTATTTTAAAGTAAATCAACAGAAACAACAAGAATGTAATCGTATTTTATTTTAGAAAAAAAAAGTGTTTATTTTGAGTATAATATTAGGATGGATATTGAAGAAATAAAATTGAGTGACATGGCCTGTATTCGTCTGGTTCAGGAGGGACCAGTGGTGGGCTCTTGTGAACATGGCCATGAACTTTCGGGTTACATAAAATGTTGGGAAATTCTTGTGTAGCTGAGCAAATGGTGGCCTCTCCAGAAGGGCTCAGCTCCATTAAGCTAATTATTATTACTATTTATTTTTTTGCGTTCCACTGATTCTCCATTCTCCTTCGTTACAAAATATTTGAGTGAGAGGAGAGGCAAGGTGACGTCTGGAAGGAGGAAGACGTGTTTGAATTGGCTGGGGAGGCACTTTGAGAAAAAAGAAATTTTGCTGGCCTATCCTTTACCGCCTCGTTGGTGCCTCCACCTTATCGTGGTGAGGGGGTTTGAGTATGCCAAGGACCCTGAGAGCTATGCCAGCGGTAGCGTAGCTACTGGCAGGACCTCCTTTGCTGGACATGTCAAAGGGTAGGCATCAGAAGTAGAGGGACACCAAAAACCAAAAACTGATGCTGGAAGCAGCGTCATCAGCAGCGACTTGAAGCACAGAGCAAATGATGCTCGAGATGGTTCAAGTTCGTATAGCAA